CAACAACAAAGTCATGTCGTAAGCAAAAGCTTGGAAAACGTACGCTACCGTAAGCATTTTTGTTTCCGAAATCAAATAGGATGAGGGTTTTGGGCACTAAATGAGATCCTGAGCCCCGAATCTTGGTATGCTTGTAGCCGGCACCCGAAGAAGAGGGACAATTAGCCTGAAGCAAAACATTGATTTTGTAGGTCTTGTACCTCCTTACCTCTTTGTATAGCTAGGTCCCAAAACACATAGTTCAATGCCTCAAGTGATCGCCAGCGTCATGAAAAAGTGGAGTCTTGCCAAATTACGTTGACTCTGCTTTTCAAAAGGTGCCAAGCCTTCTGTTTTGCCGGCTCCACTTTGGTACTCAATTTCTGCATTGTAAACCTGAACCCAATTGAGGACAAAACTTTCAAAACCTCTAAGCCCTAAGTCGCTGAATCCGCAAGATCCTAAGTCCCAAAACAGCAGAAGACGCTAACCCCAATTAAAACACCCAAACTACAGTCGCATTTCGAGGAAGACCCTGCTCTTCTCATCTTCCTGGAGTATATGCCCAGCGGATCCATCAAGGGAGTGGGCCTGGCGAGATTCTGCCAGAGGAAAGTTCATCCGAACAGAGTTTGAAAGCTAAGGCACTAATATCATCCTAAGGCTGAGAAAGACTGCTAATTGTTTGCTGGCAAGTCGCTTCCCAATCCTGCATTGATGTGGGCCCTGCAGGGCTTGGCATCTCAAATTTTCGAATAGCAGTTCATGGAGGGTGAGCACGGGCTCATCAGTCTGTCTAACCAGCGTTCGATACACGATACTGTTGCTAGTGTTCCGCAACTTAACTGCCTGATACTGAGCGCGCCGCCTGTCGAGTCTGGATGTAGAACGGAGATCGTGCATGCTCGTTTAGGGCTTTGTTTGTTTTGCATTTCCAAGATGCTGGAGAGTATGCACTGGCCTCTGATTCTTAGACTGTCCTACTATGAGAACCCGCAGTGCACCATGTGCTGACACGGTCCCTTACTAACTTTCTGCAGCAGCTTGATCTCAAGAACCCTTCCCAATTTGTTGCCAGGTGCTGCAGAAGTTTGGACCCTACGGGATCCGCCTTGTGAAGAAATACACGAGGCGCAAGCTCAGTATTAAGAGGTGGAAACGGAATGTAGCTAGTTAGTAACTGAGGGATTGGCACTGAGGTGAGATATACGGGGTGCTTCTGCGCGAGCAGTGTTTCTGCGCGAGCATAGGATTTCACAGGCTTCTTGAAGGTGCCCGGTCCTGGGTCATTCAATAGTTCATGACTAGAGCAAGCTTGTCTCTTGAGACCATCAATGGGGCTTCATCAAAAGCATCCACTACTGAACCAAACTTCAGGCACCTCTACCATGGCACCTGTAGTTCTAGTGTGGGGCACCTCATTCCCTGGGAGCCCGGAAGCAAGAAAGCGGATGCCAGGCAAATCCTGGAAGGCTTGGACTTTCTCCATACGGAGAAGATTGTCCACAGGGATGTGAAGGGCCGCATGCTTGGTCTGAAACGCTGTCAGTATTCTGGAGGGGGCGAACATATGCTAAGATGCTGGGTTCTTTACTTTTTCACCATTGGATTCTATTGGAGGGCCAAGAGCGGCCTCAGCAAGGTCCGAAGATGTTGAGCTTTGCCATGTTGCCTCTCGCATACTTGAGACCTGCAAGTTGTGAATCGGGATTAGCAAGCCCAGCACTTCCACCTGCACGACATAGCTCAGGCGCGAATATTCTAATCGATGCCGCTGGAGATGCGAAGCTAGCAGACTTTGGCGCCTCGCAGAATCTCGAGGCCAGTTAAGGACCTGACCAAGGAATGCTGACGCATCCATGACACACCCGGGTTTGCTGTGATGAGCATCATGAGCCCGCGGCTTGGGCCGAGTTGAAGCCACACTGTGTGGAATCTCCACATCCGCATGCACGCTCCACAACTTGAATACTTGTCAGAAGCCCCCACCCTTCCTGTGTAGTAATGCAAGGAAGGAACTGACGTTCTTTGACAAAGAGCATCGCAGGTGAATTCGAAGATGTAACAACCGCAGTACGCTGGTTCTCTGGCCGCTCTTGTGCAAAGTGGCCGAAGCGTGCTGCTTCGATTCATCTGACAGCCCCAATGCTGAAGCTCAAGCGCAACACATGGATGTGAAACTTAGAAAGTTGGCCTTCCGCTCTTCAGTAAGGGCACCGAATGAACTGGAAGCCTTCACTCAAAAACCACTACTTTACATATTGTGAGGAGTGGACAGCAAGACGGAAGCCCGGCCATTATGTGCCCCCAAACGTGCCTGCGACTTGACATACTCCCCCATCACCAACGGAAGGGCGACAAGGCCACACCCGTCACAGAATCAGGATGTTGACAATTCCCTTCTCAATGGCAAACGAACGTGGATACCTGAAATGCAGCACCGTGCTTTGGAATGACAAGAACTGGCACGTGTTCACGCATATCGTATCATATCATATCATATCATCCACACCTGCTATGGAGGCCTTGCATACCCTCCACGGCACGACCACTACGGGCGGAGTCAAGTCCATCCATGGAAGCGTCTTCTGGATGGCGCCCGAGGTGGGCGGGGGCTTCTCTCCGTAGGTACTTGTGCCAATCTGCGTCACGCGGCGTCAGGATTACACCTATGGTATCACAGTGTCGGTGATGCAATAACTGGAAACTCTCAGGGCAGGCAAAAGCTGGGAGAGCTTCTAAGCAGGGATGTTGAAAGGATTGATTTCGGCTTGAAAGTAGAAAAGCAACTCCCGTTTATGTTTTCTGCTAGTAACATTCGCACTCTCCTGTGTGAAGGTCATGAAATACCGCGCCGGCAGAAGATCGGCGCCCTGGGCTAGCTTGGAGGGGCGGCCGCAACATAACCAAAGTTCTGATTGTGTTTACAGGCTTCGCGTGTGGCATCGCATTTTGGATACCTACTCTTGATCGCATTGCGTGATTAGTGGCCCTTTATAGCTTGGTGACAGGTGGCAAGTATGTTGGCCATCAACTGCCAGTTGTTGCGGGCTGTGCCAGGACATATGGAGCTTGGGGTGCACAGTGATCGAGATGATCACCGCCGATGTGCGCAAGGGGTTGGGGAAGAGTAAAGCATCGGATTGGCTGCCGTGGTGTCCAAACTTGCATAGGACTTAAGCATTTTGCCCGGCATGTCTGTGACCGTTGAATCCATTGAAGAAAGTAGATAGTGGGAGATCGTCTGCAAGTTTAGACCCCGTGCTGACATGTTGTTTGTTTCCCAGAATAGAGCATGCCAGCGTGGAGAGTAGGGATATGGCGGGACAAGGGAAACCACCATGTTGAGCTGTGTGTGAACCACCTTTACACCCTTATGTTTCTGAAATCTCCTATAATTATGGTAGTTTCCCCATAAGTGAACCTCAATATAGACCCAAAAATACTCTAATCATTATTATTTGAACCCCCAACATGGTACCAATTATCTTGGGAAAGCCCTATTATATCCAGCAGGCTCCTTGGCCGAATCTTCGGCCATGGGCTCAGGTCGTTACAGCTCAATGCATCGTAGCATCGTACTGGTTCCGACGTGCAGCGTTTGCATAGCGGAGAGTATTTGCCAAAATGGTTTGGCACAAGCAAACAAACAACATCAATCTGACATGCTCATGAAGGCATGCGTGCTTATCAGGGTAAGATGTGACACGTTTTGCTTGGTAATCCGATGGTTTGCTACTGTTCATATTAGCCGTGTTAGGGGGCAATTGATCTCAAAAGTGGACATTGGGGTTCCTCTTGTAGTTTAGAAGTAAAGGAATTCAAGTCCATTAAAGTGGGCAGGAAATATTGGCTGTAGCTCAATATGTTTGCTCCAAATCTCCTATTGTTGGACACTTCTTTGTTAATTACACTGGTGTCACAAGTTGACAAAAATGTCCGATGCAGCATCGACAGCGCCACGACGAGATTGACACTTGGTAGTTGCCCGAATTGCTCCAAAGCATTTATAGCCTTGCCTTCCTGTTTAGCTAGCTACTCATCCCATGCCTGCCTGGTTGGCAAACGGACGCCCGACCTCCAAGTGCAACGTTAACTGACTTGCTTAATCAATGCTCCCCTGTTGTAGCACACCCGTGTCTACGTTGTTCCCTCGCGACTATGTACTGTGTTATACTGTGTTCAAGTTGGGTTCGAGTTAATCTTGCACGACGGGCATGTTTGATGTTGATGGGAAGGGGTGGTTCTCACGCCAGTCAGGGAGCACAAGTTGCCAGTCACAGAGATGCTTAGACACATTGTGGACAGCGACGAGGCTGGCGGTCAGTTCCTGGGATTTAGTGTTGCTTAGCTTTGGAGCTTGGCAGCTTGACAACGCCGGCTTCAGGATTCAGAGACAATACATGACGGTTCGGGGTTCAGCATTTGCGATTGTGCAAATTCAGTTTTGGCTTTGGGACCGGATGTTGCCTCTGCAGGGCTGAGGTGCGTCATTTTTCGCAGGATCTCAAGAAGCTGACAAGTGAACAGTACGAAAGCTGCATACCTGCTCTTTGGGGCTGGCTGCCCTCTCCCCTCTCGGTCTGCGCGCTAGATCCCGCCCTTGCCGGAAAAGATCCACCCAGACTGCCGGAGCTTCCTGGAGCCGGGATGCCCAAGGATGCTTCTGCCAAATCTGCCGATGATGATCAGGATCACGACGAAGGTATTCATGCTTACAGTATGGGATGGTTGCTGGCTTGCTTCATGGCCAACTGAGAAGATTTCAAGGTGTTTGGGTCTAGAGTCCGAGGAATAGCACTTGAGGGGTAGGGCTGAAAGCGCAGTTCTTTCTCCACGTTGTGGTCAAGCTGATACGCGCCAGAAGCAATGGAATTCTGCCTTCCTGGAATGTGGACTGCATCCACATGGTTCTCACCCCACCGAAAAAGACAAAACTCCCACAGAGAAGCAGCAAGCATAAGGAGAAGGAACAGTAACTCTGCGTCGCAAAAGCTCAGCAAGAACTGAAGCCCCGTCTAGGAACCAGTGCCCAAAATTCTTAGCCCTCAAGCGCAGCTGAAAGTCCTTGAAGCAACGAGGCGGACATTGAACCGCGACCACACCCGGCGGCCCTATGCTGACAAGCTGCTGGGCCACCGCTTCGTGGTGGACCGCAGGGGGGAGCTGAGGGGAGGTTGGGGCTCTAGATTTTTTGGGGTTGCGGGTTGGGGGCGGATCGAGAGGACTGGGAGGGTTTATGGGTAGGTGTTGCAACTCACAAGGATCACGTGAAAAGTTTGAAACCACGTCCGACAGACCCTGTAACACACGCTTATTACTGTAACCATGAAACTCCTCGCATGCAGGATCATGAACGGGAGGGAGGAGCCCTAGAATACCTTGCGTAGTGCTCCGTCAAGACTAACATGATGACCAAAATGTGGTTTGTTGTCGACCATCACCATCTGAATGATCGTATCATGATGCGAGGAAAGGGGTGTCACAATTTGATCTTTTGTCCATTTTGGACGACCGTGCCCCAACGTGGACTACCGGTAGCAGATACCAGGAAGGAGCCACTCCGGGCTCCACCCCAGCAGCCACTCCAGGCGGCGCAGCCGGGAGCCAAGCCTTGTCCAACACTCTCAAGTCTCAAATAAACCCTAGCCTGTGTATTATTGTTTGTTGCCTTTTAATTACCTGTAGGGAATGTAGATGTCTGCGGGTCGTTGGCGTCCGTGCAGCACATGGGGTCATTGCGCGGATTATAGGAATCTATTCCTCATGCTAAAAGGAGGCGAAAAGCAGGCGTTGAGATCTCCAGGCTGGAGACTACGAAACAAGGATGGGGCGGCCCGGAGGGTGAGCGCTTGCTCGTGAAGTGCTTCAGCAAGAGTGCTTGAAGCTCGTGCAGTGTCAAGTTTGCATGTGCTCCGCGATGTACTAGACATCGTCATGCCCTCACCACACCCTCCTCAATCCAGCAAAGGAAAGTCAATGCTGGCTGGAAACAAGCACTGCATCTGGTGCAAAAGACTCCCCAAACCCAGACCGAATCCATGCCTCTAAGGCAGCTGGTGCCTCACCAGTCTCGGTAGCCTCGACAGTTGAACCCGTGGCCAGCCCCTGACGCTCTGAGCATGTGCTGATCTTCGCAGGCTCCACAGACAAACAAGACATTGAGGAAGACATTATGGGGGCTGGTAGGGCAACAGCTGGAAATGACCCAGGATAGTTGATATTCGATGCAGTTCTGTTGAGGCGGCTTCCTCTGTTGAGTAGCCAAGAACGAATAAAAGAAGCAGTGTCTAGAGTGGGACCGCCTGGGGTCGCCACGCAAGTGCTGTGATTATGTAGCTGACGTCAAACATATCTCGGCATCACTAGCACTTCTTTTCTTCTACTAGCACTACTTCAGCGATGGCATTGTCATTGTGTTGTGAGTCTGGCGTGGAAATCTTCCCTGCCAGCTCGTCAGGGGCCACGCTTTGGGGCCCAGTTCCCAAGCAGTAGAGATCCAGCATGCCGCTGGGCCCTCGTAACCTGACCGGCAAACGCAAATGCTTCAGGGTTTGAGACTTGGAGATGTGGAACTTGACGGTCCCTGTTGGTGTTTCTGTACCCAAGGATCCTGTTTGGTAGGATGCATGATCCCAGCAGCAACAACTCGCTGACTAACTGCGTACGAAGGTTTTTGTGGTTCAGCCATGCTTCAGACCTTGCGCGCCCTATCTTTCTTTGTGCTCCCTCTTTGTGGTCCTGCGACTTGTGCGGGTTGACTCCCAAATACTCAAGGTTGAGGAACATATCACAAACCCTGAGTCCCCCACCCATGACCCACAAGTCCATGCATGTATGAACCTGAACAGCTAGCAAAGTGTTCCTGATATTCAATTTTTCAACTTAGCCACCACAAGCCTCATTTTCTTAAGGTTTCTGCGGTACAAGGTCAGCTTCTGCTATTGGCCCAGCAAACCCGTGCTGGAAGGGATCTCAGCTGCAGGGGCTCAGGGGACATGGCGCCCGTCACCATCCCGTTGTCCGAAAAAAACCGGCAAATGTTTCTTTAGATGCCTCCTCAAGTAGCATCATGGTTATCATAGCTACAATGGCTCTCACTTTTTTGAAACTAGTGGTAGAATCTTAGAAGTTGCTGTCCTAGTCCCAAGAGTCCTGGAGCGGAATCGGCACACCTGGACTATCCAGGGGTTGGTGCCGACAGAAACTGCCTCGGGAGGCCGACGCAGATATTGCCCCGGTACTTCGCAACTTCTTTCAAATGTCTAGATCCTTCTCTTGATGCATGACTGGTGGAGAGTTTTGGCAACAACTGACACGCAGAATCTGCGCCGCTTGCTTGAGACAGTTTCCCCATTGTCCAGATTTCTCGGAGTGCGTTACGCAATGCGAGAAAAATACATCCCATGTTCTGCAGGCGTCAGACTGAGTGAGCTTCGATCGAACTATGGCAAGACAACTGCATGATGCCAAAGGGCAGCCAACGCTTGACTCCGGGCCAAGTATGCGCGAATGTCCCTCAGCTCTTGTATGACAAGGCAGCTCTTGTACGACAAGGCACGACTTTCTCCATACTTGCTCGTGCTCTGGGCTCACGGCACACAGAAGTCTGAAAAGTAGATCACCATAAGCGTGGAGCAAAACTGACAACAGCACCAGAGCTCTTGCAGCAGCGCACAGCACGCAACTACCTACTCAAAAGGCCCCCCTCAGTCCCAGGCCCTACAGATCACCCAAATACCTAAGATTCCAACAGCTCCGAGTTCAACCTGCCTTGGCCAACGATGCCGCAGGCGGGGATGTTAGTATATGGGGGTTATATTGGGATTATGGAAAATAAAATGGAAACTACAGGTATTATAGGGATTATACACGGATTAGTTCCCGTCCTAAAGTAACCAGTAGTTGTGGCGTTTTTGGACTTGCCCTCCAGTCCAAAATTCCTGAAGGAGAGGAGCCGGAAGATACATCCCGTGTGCATTTGGAGCTGACAGTTGAGGGTTGTGTTTGAGGCTTATTCCCAAAATGTACCCAGTTTCCATTTTCTTTTCCATGATCCCTATAAAACCCTAATATAATGTGTTTGAGGGTCAGGCCCCTCTAGTCCACAAGTTGTCTAGCTTCTCATCCCCAAAGCGCGAACCTGAGCTCCAGTCGCACTACCCCCCCTCCTCAAACCTGCGAATAAGGGGTTCTATTGGGGGTTATATTATATAGGGATAATGGAAAAGAAAATGGAAACTACTACACTATAATAGGGCATATATTGGGGTTATTTAGGGATAATGGAAAAGAACATGAAAACTACTACAGTACATTATACTCGGTTATATATTGGGGTTATAGTAGGGAATAAGGAAGTCTTCTTAGCGTGTGGCACAGACTTCACTATAGTCCCTTGGCCATCCCACAGCTTGGTTTCCGGAGGACCTTCCTGTTTTGAGGCAGTAAGAAGAAAGCTACAAATTAACGGCTCCTTCATAGTCAGTAGTCAGTAGTCCTACATATACTGTCGCAGCCCACACATGCAGCCACATCTACAAGCCTATGGCCTAAAAAGTATGCGCTGCATTTAAACCATTTAGCCTTGTTTACCAAGAAAACGCGATCCCTACAGCAAAGACTCCAGAAATGTACCCAGTTTCCATGTTCTTTTCCACTATCCCTTTATTCCCTATATACCCTTATATTATACAACCCTACATGCCATAATTCTTGCAAGCGGCTATTTGAATGTGCAACCTGCAAGGCCGTAGCTCCCCGCCGCGCGGGCATCGCGCTGGATTTCGACCTGACCACGACCCCTTCGCCTGAGAACTTGGAGATTATCACTTATACTCAAAACTATGGGCCCCTTCTGGTTGTAGATTATATTGTACTGCTTAATATTTGGGGGTACGAAAATGGGACCCTAATTTTGGAAAGTACCCATCTGGCCCGCTTGCAGGAAAGGTAGTTCTGAGCTAGGAGTACCTGAAGGGGATTCCGCGGGTACTCCAAATCGCGTTGGAACGCTTCGTGTCTTGTATGGCTACTGCTGCAAGGCATCTAGATGCGTGAAAATGGGGTGCGTGCTGTAAACGCAAAAAGCGAAATCCATCACTGTGGTCAGCTTATCCTAAGGCCTGCCTACCTGGACACAAGGAAGAATGCTAGCCGTCACTTGGCTGAAAATGGGAAAATGGATGCGACCCAAATATGATGCGTTTCTGCAGAGACCGCGTACCCTATGCTGAGAAAAATCATATCCTAAGCCTTAGTTGTTTAGCCTGCTTGCAATCAGAAGGCTCGAACACAAGGCTTACAAAGGTCCCTTTGACATGAATAAGAGGGTACATTGGCCATTATGTTAAAGCATTCTCAACCTGGGCAGGCAATTTATCATGAACCCGCTACATCTTAAAAGGCCGCTGAGCTTTGAACCTGCTGTTGCTCAGGACGCAAAAGCACATAACCATAAGGACAAATTGTAACAACGGCAACAGTGCCCTCGACGTTTTCTTCGCACCGCCTCCTAACAGGTTGAGCGTTGATCACTTGTTAATCATTGAATTCTTGTGACTGCTCTGTCTGGGTTCTTTGGTGACCCCAGCCACCAAATCAAGGCCATGTGATTACAGGCTGCTTGTGACATGGGGATTCTCAGATAATCCTGATCCAGAACACCATGTATGTTACAGCTGCCACCACCCAGCTGCATATTGGGAGCGCTGCCCTGTCAAGTCTTTCCTCGAAAAATCTCAGGTGACTACCGAGCTTCAATCAAGGACTACAACAATATGCTCATCAACCAGGCTTGCACGTTGTGTTGGGGCCAGCGTTGAATAAACTTCTGCACTTGACTGGAAGGAAGTAAGCACTTGTTAAGGTAAGGGGACTGCCCATGTAGCTCCCTTAGTAAACCAAAGACGCTACACAATCAATCACTTGAGAAACAACGCGGAAAGCGGGCTACAGACAAAAGAAAACTCAACTCAACCCCAGTGATTTCCTTGTTAAGATGATGATGCGCAGGTCCGGCCCCAGAATGACCTTCACCCCAGGCCTGGCGGTGGGCTGATTTCAGCAGAGTCCCGGAAGAAAGGATCCCAGTATTTGGGTGCGAAAAATTGTTGAATTTAGGCACATACATACCCTGATGTTAGACGGCGCTTGTCATGGCTTGAGCATTAAGAGGCTATACACTGCAAAAAATCAAGATCGTGAGGGCTCAGCCTCTCGTGTGCTGTTGACGATTTGCTTCAGGAGCGTTGCAATACAGCATCAGAGAAGCAATGCCTGGGAAGCACATAGTAGATCTTGCAACTTGTCAGGCATTGGACTGGCAATGGCTTCGCTGGGCATGCTGCAGTCTCAGGTTGTTGCTTCACGTCTTCACGTGGGCACAGGGTCACGAGAGCCCGCGCTGCCTTAGGTTCAGTACGTCCCTTACATCGGCACAGACCCCTTGAGACCAGGGGTGAAGTTCGAGCGGGACATGCAGGCCACCGGGTGACACTGCAGTGCAGAGAGAGGCGCGCCGCATCTGCAACTCCTGGCTGCAGATCTCGACCATGCCCATGGAAAATGGAAAGCCCCTCAACATCTCACAGCCTGGCCCTCAGGCTTTTGCCTGCCATTGGGCAAAGAATTCGCAATGAGCAGTGTCACGCAGGGCCATCTTGTCACGTTTTTTGCGCAGATCATGGCAACTAAGCTCATTGCTCAGGATGACTCGGTCGGCTAGCCGCGTGCTCAGGGTTGATGCCCCCAACAGCCACAAGCAGGAAGAGACTTGTTCATACAACCGGCTGCAGACACCAAGCCGCAATGGGATGCTAATGTTGGACTCGGCGCTTAAGGCATGGTGAAGTTCGTGAGCGGGGTGGACGAGCGGGAGCGGACGTCACCAGCCCTTTAGTCAGGGCTCAGGTAGCGCACACATGGCTTAGTGCCACCATCTAGCAAATGAAATACGGCTAAATGCCAACATGACCTTTGTGTCGATGTTGCTGTTAGAGGGGTTCTTTCAGCATTTTTGGCGCTTGAGAGTTCAGTGTAGTCTGGCTTCGCTGGGGAGAGGTGCATTCACACTTAAGGACCATTTGAGCGGCTGAGGGACTCAACGCGGCA